GAGCTGCCCTTGGAGTGGAGGAGCGAGAGGCTGGCCAGTGCAGCGGGGACTCCCTCTGCCCTGAGACAGGGCCCCAACCCGTCTCCTCACCCCGACACTTTTGTCCAAGTCCATGAGAGCAGCTAGTTCCTACATCTCTGTGGCTCAGGCACCCCCAGCCCCAAGGCCTCAGTGCTTTCCCTGGGCCTGACATCAGACTCCTGGCTCTGCCACTCGCTAGCTGTGTGAGCTTAGACACTTCACCCCTCCCTGGCTCCTTAACTGAAAAGGGGATATACTATGACCAGCCTCATGGGGTGGTTCTGAAGGTTAAACGAGGTAATCCATCCACTCGTAGTCGTTCCTGGCACTTACCTATCACTCCCATTTCCCACATCAGTCAGTTCTGTGACAACTGGTGTGCTCCTAAAGGTCACCATGCTCTGTAAAATCACAGTAAAAACCAAGGCTCATGGGGAGATGGGGCTGGGGTACAACACTAAGACTTTATCAGTGATTTGTTAAAGAGATAGGAACCAAATACAAACCCTAGCACCGCTTTATTCGCATTAAATGGCTAAGCAGTACATAAACACCACAATAAACGTGGCACCCTACCTTGAGAAACCTGACGTTGGCTTGTGGGAGTGTGTGCCTGCACTCTTGCCAGCCCGTGTGGGAGAGGAAGAGAACAAAAGAGCTAGAAAGAGAAGCCAAACAGACGACAGACAGGGAGAGGCAGTATAGGACAGACAACAGAAGGGAGGCATGGGCCACACAGCCAGGTGTGAGGTGGTGCATCCGGTGGAAAGCTGAGAGCAGGTGTGGATGCTGTGACTCATCGTCATCCTGATGGGTGCACGTTTTTGTGTATTCCCAAGTCACCTGACCCAGGTCACCTGGGCGCAGTTTTTGCATTCACCTAGTGTTTCTCTCCGAGGAAATCATGTGTGAGGAAACGCAAAATGTGTATGGATGCTCAGATTATTCCCTAACATATCAATTGCTTTACAACCAAGAAAAAAAATTTGACTACTCGTTACCTGTCTGGGTCCCTCCTGTGCCCGTGCTCAGGTGCTAGAGAAGAGGGGTGAGGTAGCTCCCCCATCTATCTGCTTAAGTTGTGCTCTGTTCCCTTCCAGAATCTGACCTACGAGATCATCCTGACGCTGGGGCAGGCGTTTGAGGTGGCCTATCAGCTGGCCCTGCAGGCGCAGAAGTCCAGGCCAATGGGGGCCTCTGCAGCTGAGATGATCGAAACAAAATCTTCCAAACCAGTGCCTAAGCCTCGCGTTGGCATGAGGAAGTCAGCAGTACGTGGCCCCTTTCGCCAAGAGTCCCCATGCCCCAGCCCCGGGATACAAGGGCTTGGGGTGGAACAGGGCTCAAGGGAGGGCCCCTCACACTTCAGACAGCTGGCCTTTCAGGAAACAGCCCTGTTCATTAGGCTCCTGTCGCAAGGTCCTCACCTGGAGAGCCGTGGCCCCTCTCATGTCTCATGAGAGGTGGACAGCTGTCCACCTGGGCATCCTGCTCAGTCCCTGGCCGGGGTCCAGCAGGGCCCGGCCATCCCAGGGCTGCAGAGAGCACAGCCAGCAGGCGAGCCCTTGTAACGGCACCCCATGTCTATGTCTGCTTTGCTTCGCACCCCAGGTGCCGCTGCCCCCCGATAGTCGCTGTTGTTACTGTCACACCTGTACCACCCATCGTCCTTCTTACCTACCGCTGCCGTCTGTTAGTCCTGGAGTCAAGGTCTTTACATCTCCTGCTGTCTGTGTGTCAGTCTTCCCAAAGTGACCGTGAGCTTTCTGAGACTGGTGGCCTCTCCCTCTCTGCCTGCGAGGCATTCTTCTTTCCTGAGCTGCCCTCTTGCCACCCCTGTCAGCGCTTTAGCCCTTGTTGTTGTCCTGTGTGTCCTGCCCTCTGCAGAGGCCTGGGGTACCTGCTGTGATCTTGCCTGGGGTGAGCTCTCTGGCCCCACCAGAGGGGACCCGAGGCTTGGAGTTTCCAAACCTCGTATCCCTCCTCCTACCACTAACAGGCTTGAGGCTTAGAGCACATTGCTCAGGTAGGGCGAGGCTCCTTTACCTGAGCAGCTTCGAGAAATCCATGGGACACGTCGCCTCTGCTAAGCCCAGAGGTGGCCCTCCCATAGTGCTCCAGGGAGGGTGTCACTTCTGTCCTCTCACCCCAGGGAGCTTGCTCTTTGGCTAAGAGTAGGACTTCCCCTCGTGGGATACCGCCACCGGCATGGCCTGGGCGGGTGGAAGGGACGGCTGCGCCCTGTCGTCCCCTGGCCCAGGCGCAACACTGAGCCTTCACCCTTCTTCCTCGGCAGCTGGAACCACCCGATACGGACCCAGACGCGCAGTCCCACGCCAGTGTCTCCTGGGTTGTGGACCCCAAACCAGACTCTAAGCGGAGCCTCAGCACCAAGTATGAGACCACTATCTTCTAACCGCCCACTCCCTGTCTCCACTAGTCTCACTGTGCCTTGCCATCCGATCCTCCTGCTGTTCTCAACTCTCCTTCCAGCTGCTGACGCCAAGGCCCCACCCCCACCGGGCCCTGCTCTCCTCCTGGGCAGCAGCTGTAGACACTGCACACTCACAGCCTGTACCTAACACCACCGGACACTGTGAATTCCCCTCTTGGGCAAGGACAGCTTGGGGGGGCTGAGTTGCCTTTGAGGTAGGCACTAAGAGGGCTCAGGGGGGCCCTGTGGGGCTCCAGAAGCCTCAGCGGCAGGCACCGTGGATCCTGAGGGCTGGGGGCAGTCTTCGAGCAGAGTCCACAGCACCAATGACAGCTCGCCCTGATCAGGCTGGGCTCCCTGTCAGCTCTCCTCTCCTGTCTTCTATGCCGAGCCACAGCTGGGTGCTGCTGCTATGAGCTAACTGTCTATTTGCACCTTTCTTGACCCAACCAACCACTGTGACCACCTGGTGCCAGAATCCCCTTGCACTCTGCTCACAGCTGGCCTGCGGCCCTGTCTCCCCTGTGAGGTGCTGGCCTCCCCTCTGTGAGACCCTGAGCTCAACGATGTAGCTGGACCAGGGTCAGGCTGCTTTCTTTGAAGGCCCAGAGTCTGTGCCAGGCCCTTGGGCACATGCCTGACTCCAAAGCATGGGCGCTGTACATCTGAACACCCACAGGCTGGCTTCATTCAGCAGGTCTCTAGGTCCTGATGGGTCTTCCATTCTGAGGAATGGGATGACATGTATGTGGCGAGCCCCTCATGTCTTCAGCAGTGAGTCACAGGCTGGCTGCAGAGTCTAGCTCACCAAGGAGGAAGGCCTTCCTGTAGCACCCAGCAAGAGGGAGGCCTGCGCCCTGCACACATGGTGCGCCTTCCTCCCTCACGGGATGGAGCTGCTCGAGGACAGGGACCTGGACCGAGCAACTTCCTTGTCTCCAGGAGCTTTCTGACTCTTCTCCAGAGTGTGGGGATCCGAGATAGTCAGTCATCAGTTGGTCCCTCCCCTGATCAACCGCCCCAAGCCTCCTGACTCTTCTGAGAAAGAAGGCTGTGCAGTCTGTCACCTCAAAGCAGTGCAGCGGCTAGGATCGTGGAGTTGAGGCTTTGAAGAAGCCTCGCATTCTCTCAGGCAGGCACATCAGCTTAGATGGCAGGAGACAGGAAAGAAGCAATTCCCAGAGAAAGCAGTGCAAACATAGCATAATCCAGTAGGACAGCCAGTAAGTTACAGCAATTCCTTTAGAATTGAAACCCAAGTTGATAAACCAGGGTGGGTCCTTATGCCTACCTGTCCTTGTGCCTTCCTGAGCAGATGCGCTGAGCCAGAGGCGACAATGGGCAGTGGGCCGTGGGCGCTCAGAGGAGCAAGCCACAGAGGGTGCTCAGGAGAGGCTGTGAGGGACCTTCTGTTCTGCTTCCGTGTTTCCTTTCCATTTCCTCCACCTCGTGCAGGCCCCTTTGGTTAACCCTTTCCTCCCCCCGTTGTGTTTGCTTCTGCCAAGCTGAGCCACTGAGGAACCAGCTGTGCTGCGGAAACACAGAAGTGGGGGGCACAGGCTTCCACCACCACCACCGTCTCACCTGCAGCTTTGAAGACCCAGGCCCAGCCTCTGCCTGTAGGACTCCTCTCGGCTGCTTGGCCTGGGCCTGCCACCACCAGGTCTTGCAGAGTGAGCCCTGCCCTGGCTGCGGAGACGAGACTGGAACTCCAGAGGGTCGCGAAGTGACTGTCCAGAACACATTTTTTAATAGAAAAAAAATTTCTTTTTTATCAAATGAACTTTTAACACGGCTCAAACCTCTAGGTTAAACTGCCAACCTTTAGACAGGTGGCTACAGGGTCAGAGGACAGAGGAACTGAGACTGGGAAAAAGCCAGTCTGTCCAGCCCTTTGTCCTTAGGATGGAATTTTGGCATGGTCCAGTAGGTCTGAAGAGAAGGCGGTGGCCTGTGGGTAGTTGAAAAGAGCAGGCATGAGGGGCAGCATTGACTAGGTTTTGTTAGAGTCTGCTTTTCAAACCCATCCAAGTTGATTGCTGTTCCTTATGGAACTGCATAAACTCTTGTTCCTGTCTAGACCTGGACACAGCCTCTGCAGTAAGAACACAGCCTTAGAGGCACCTGACAAAATCAAAGCCTTTCCTTTCATTTCTGGGGTTCCAGATATGAAGGTCCAGGGGCCAAATGGGAGATGAGTGAGCAGTCCCTGGTGCCATGAAGTCCGAGCCAGCGCCTGGAGCTCTGAGCCACTCCTCAGTCTCTGACCTGCTGGTGGCCAGAGCACTGCTCGGGGCTGCCTGGCCCTTGAGCTGTCTGGTGACCTCCAGCTGCCTGAGTCGAGTCAGAAAGGAAAAAAGAAACTGTTGTGGGCATTAATGAGTAGGTCAGCTAAGACTGCTACCTGCCAATTTGTGATCTGTCTAATTAGGTCTCTATGACTAGGACTCACTTTGATTCTCTGAATTATTGCTTTGACTGTTGTATTTTCAGCTGTTGGGCTCATCCCTGGCTCCAAATGTAGAAAAGGCTACCTAAGGTGACAGTCAATTTGATTCTCCCCCACTGTGGCCCTCGGGGTAGGCTGGCATCCTGGTGCACTGCTGCCACTTCAGCCCTCCTGCTGGCTCGCTTTGCTTTGTAACTGTGGTTGTATTCCTCCTCCTGGGGTATAGTGGAAACAAAGGGGCTAATTCCTGTGAGTTGGAGAGAGAGCGCCAGGTCAGCTGCTTGTCCAGTATCTTCCAGAGTAGGGAGCAGAGGGGAGCCTTTCCGTGGGTTATTCAGCAGACCTCATCGTTTCACTAGCATGGTTCAGTCTGGTCCCAGGGTCAGGATTCCAGGATTCAGCAGCACTTTCCCAGTGAAGGTTGTGAATTAAAATCTTCTGCTCCATGCATGTGCAGGGAGAGTGCTCTCGGGCACATTCTCAGCCCCTGTGGTTGGCCAGAAATTGAAAGCAGGGCCATGTCTTCCTGGTGACTCGAGGCTGGGCCCCGTGGGTTCCCCTCTGCTGAGCCAGCCTGCCCCACCTCTCTGGAGTAGAGGCAGGTGATCCTCCACTTTTTGGTACTAAACAGGAACCTCGATACCTGGAAGTTTGACTTCCTCTTCTTCCAGGACCTGTGAGGATTCCCATCAGCTCACACTGTGCAGTGTTCAGCCCCTCCTTTCTTCCAGGAATTGACAAGGACATCTGAGATTGTTGGGTAAGCTGTGCCCCTACAGCACTCTGCTGGTGCCGAGGAAGGCCGGGTCTCTTCTAAGTAAGCCTCTCTGGTGTAGGTGGTAGGTCCAAAAAGAAAACTTTGTAGACACTACGATGAGTTCCTCACGCTGTTTGTTTTTAAGTCATACGTAGGTGTTTCTTCCCCTTGAAGCTGCTATATCTTTATTTATTCAGGGTATTTTCATATTGGAAAGCCTTGGCTTGTCTGCTCTGGCTCCGGGTTTTGTTTTGAGAACGGTTTATTTCTGAATATTCAAGAAAGGAAAGGACTGGATCTTTTTTTTCTTTTTTTACTCTCCTCTGGGGCAGGTACTCTCCCTTCCCTAAAAAAGAATATTATAATTTTAAGGACAGGCTTCAAGTGGAAAAGCCCTTGCTTCTGCACGCCTCTGAGTGCAGGTCACACAATGTGACAAACCCCATCACTGCGTCTCCGATCTGCGGGAGCCTGTTTAGCTGAGACTTGAAATGGGGTCAGTACCTATCACCGGCCACAGGCTCTCTGATCGCCTCTTTCCTTGCCAGCTACTGAGCAAGACTTCACTCCTGACAGGCTCCGCATCTGCAACGCTCTGCATCCCTCTTGGGCTTCTAAGCATCGGATGGTAGGGGGAGATCCTTGAGAAGCCTCGGATTGAGCAGGCAGCAGGCATGGGTTGCAGTCATCCAGAGGTTAGAAAGTAGTCTGACCTTGGTCTGTTTTTGAGATGCCCAGGCCTGCAGAATGACTGTCACAAAAGTATTGTTGCTAATGGTGTGGCAATGGGACTGAATTGTAATAAAAATGTTATTTAATCTTTGTCTCTGTATTTTGATACTTGAATGACTTCCCCTTTTATTTTACTGTACATATAATTGTTAATCTGTCCAATTTTGTCCGAATTACAAACATCTTGTGGTACCAAACATAACCAATCTGTGTGACAACATAGACTGACCTCACTACACGAGCGTGTGTAAATATTTCTGGGCTTCCAGCTTTGGTTTTGTTATTTTCATAACTGTACAACTTAGAACAGACCGAATTAATAAATGAGAAGCGAAACGAAAGCAGCCTTACTTTTGGGAGTCTTTGAACCTGATTGTTTCTTAATCGTGCAGTGCGGTGCGGTGCAGTGCGGTGCGGTGCGGTGCGGCGCGGCTAGACGCTGGCTCTGGGTTGGTAGTGAGTATCCTGCTATGTTTGGTCGGG